AAATCCATAAAATTAAAAGCAGAACTTATAAATTAGGAAATAGGAAAAATAGAACAAATAGACCCAAAGCTTCTCATTTTAAACTATATCATAAATAGATAAATTATTAGTTAATCTAACAAAAACAAGAATAAAAAAAGATAAGAACTATCTGTTAGGAAACAATAAAATATTCTACACCTCACCAACCAGAAAATAAACCCAACAATGCTTTTTTGGTAAAAATAAAATTTTATAATGTATGTGAAGTTGAAGTTCCTGTCATAGTACATGACCAATTAGAAATGTTAATTTTTATTGATTTTTTTGTTTTCATATGGGGCTGGATGAGAGACATACCCAAAGTTTCTATGTCCCTACCAAGAAAGAATGTCTCTTATGCAAATTTGGCAGCTAATTACTGTATTGTGAGAAGACTCAAAGTTCTCTGCTTCCTGTAACCATACCTGCACCTTTACTTTTGTTTTCATTTGTTGTTAGGAGGTAATTGAGTGAAATGCAATGGTTAATTGCTCAGGTTTTGAAATCAACAAACCTGAATATTATTCTGATTTTATTCTAGACATTGGGCAATTTACTTAAACTTTCAGAGTCTTTTTTTTAAATTACAAAGTATTATGGGAGTACAAATGTTTTGGTTACATAAATTGCCTTTGCACTACCTGACAAATGTGTCCATCTCTCAGACAGCACAGGCTGCATCCATTATGTGCATTTACCCATCCCCTACACCCCCTTCCCACCTGCCCAACATCCTATGAATGTTATTTCCCACACATGCTCATTAGTGTTAATCAATTAGTACCAATTTAATGGTAAATACCTGTGGTGTTTGCTTTTCCATTCTGTGATACTTCACTTAGAAGAATGGGCTCCAGCTCCATCCAGGTTAGTATTAGAGGTAGTTCATTTCTTTGTGGATGAGTAGTACTCCATGGTATACATATACCACATTGTGTTAACCCACTCATGTATTGCTGGGCACTTAGATTGTTTCCACATCTTTACAATTATGAATTGTGCTGCCATAAACATTCGAGTGCAGGTGTCTTTATTATAGAATGTCTTTTTTTTTTTTTTTTCCTTTGGGTAGATATTCAGTAGTGGGATTGCTGGATCAAATAGTAGTCCTACTTGTAGTTCTTTGAGTTATCGCTATACTGCTTTCCATACAGGTTGTACTAGTTTGCAAATCCCACCAGTAGTTTATGAGTGTTCCTGTCTCTCCGCATCCACACCAACATTTGTTGTTTTGGGACTTTTTGATAAAAGCAGTCTTGGTTTATTGCCTTGTAAAATATTGACTATAATATTGATCTCATAAGGTTTTTCTGAATGGTAAATAATACTTTTAAGTAAAGTGTTTAATAAACTGTCTGGAATAATGTGAGCTATGAGGCTTTTTAAATTAACAAAGTCAAACAAATGTGTGTGTGCTTAGCCTATATATTGATGGAGGTAAAAAACAAAACAAAACAAAACAATGTCCCATGGCTTGAACCCATATAATTTACACATAGGTAGACTAAAGAACATGAATTTTGGGCCAAATGTGATTGGGTTTGAAACTGAGCTTGAGCATTTACTAGTTGTGTGACCATGAACAAAACTTTTGACTTTCTGTTTCCTTACATATAAAATAAGGAAAGAATACAAAATTCCTAGCATTGCTCTGCAGATTGTATAAGGTAGTATTTGCAATGTACAGTGTCAGACAATAGTAGGAGAAAGGGATTGATAAAAGATAGTCATTAACTTGATTAGCAATGCCAAGGGAAGAGTCATGTGATATATTTACACATTTGCTTTCTGAGAACTAAAATCCATAGAGAGACAGATACCAGAGCCTGGTTTCTTTAATATAAAAAATTGTTATATTTAGAGTCAATTTTCTAAAAGTATGCCTTTGACAATTTTCAAGGGTTTCATATGAGTATACTTTGCTTGCCTTAGTTAACAGTTGAGTCACTGTAAATAATTGACTTTGTTGATTAACATTGATGTCAAATTTTTTCTTGCAAAGATATTGTCATAGCTTTACTTGTCATCTTTTTAAGGCTTTATTTCAAGTATCCTTGAGAAAAATCTATTTTAAATTGCATCAAACTGTCACCTTAAATATTAATGATGATAATATTTCATAATCATATTCTGCAAATAGTACAACTTACATAAAAATATTTACCAATTTTTTGAAAAAAATTATCCAGTAAAATGATTCTTAAGGTCCTAAATTCTCCAGCTTTTCTGAAAAGTGAAGAAACCAGGTCTTTCTTTAATGAGGTATATTTAAGAAACAATAATAAACCCTGGGACTGGTTTTGACCAGTGGTCTTCCCTCTAAGATAATGAGAGAGAAGGAGAGGAGAGAAGGAAAGGAAAATGGTAAGAACCTGGTGAAACAGGGCAATATCGTATCCATCCTTGTGTTTCTAATACTTAAGACAGTAGCCAGCATATATCCAGTGCTCAAAATATTTTTTAAATTAATGAATGAAGCTCTGGATCAGGTACTTTATTTATTCTGTCTTATTTAATTCTCACAAAAACCCTTTATTTTGTTTATATTTTTGGTTTGGATAAGAACTTGGTGGATGGTTTGAATAATAAAACATCCTACATAACCAAGTTTTTCTCTCCTAAAATGTCTTTGTATTTCTTTACCTAGTAATGAATGGACTGGGATTGAGAACATTTTATTTTTCTTCTTTTTCTTTTTTTCCTTTGGAGACATGTCAGTATTTACTTAGAAATATAAGACTGTGAATGAGTAAAATCATGCACATTTTGTAAAAAGGTAAAAAAAAAAAAACTTAAAATTTTAAGAGCTATAATATCTCTGTGTTTGTTTGACAGATGAATTGATTGATCAGAGTAAGAAAGAAGAAAAAGGGAACTGTATTTTTAAAGGCTTGTGTTTCCCAGTGAATTTTCTTCCTCCATCTTCTTTGAGAACTAGAAATAGATAAAGGGGCCTTTGGAAAAAATGATTGTTTGAAGATAAAGATGAATATTTGTGACTTAAGATTCAGACGTCAAAAAAAAAAGACAGCTCAAATTTTGATTTAAAACATGGTCATTCTCTCTTCAACTTCAAAGACTATGCAGATTGTTGGGCTCCCAGGTTCAAGGGTGTTGCCCTTTTTGTTCTCACAGTAAAGTCATAGTAAATGGACAAAAAGCTACCCCAGGGAAAAATTCTATGGTAATAAAATTTTCTCAGTGTCCTTTCTCCCTAAATAGTAGAAAGTTCCAAAAACTTTCTGCAAAAGTTACTTTCTTGTTTGAAAATAAAAAATGTTAAAAGTTTACACTTGCAGAGGCTCTTCATGTCCCAGTCAGAGCCACATGTAAATAAATACTCAAATGTCACTGTAGTAGAGAACAGATGCTATGAGTTAGCCAGCTGAAGACTACAGAGCCAGTTGAAGACATCAAAAGCAGAGTAAAGAGTATTAGCAAAGGCCTGTTGTGTGTATATAAAACAATATGGTACACATGGAGAATAAGAAGTGTTTTAAGATGATTAGAATGTGGGAAGGATCCAAGAGGAGGTAGCCAACACAACAATGACAATGTATCCTTTCCTTTTAAAGAAAACTACACACACACACAAAAACCACAAACAAATAAATAAAATCCAGATCCAGATGAAATTATCTGCTAAGTATGTAGGAGGGAACTTATCTGAAAGATTTAAAAAATTATCTATGTAAATCATAATGCATTATATATCTAAGTAAATGTCTAGGAATATATTATAGTATGATAAGGTGTAACAAGCTGAGATGTCCTTATCAGCTTGAGCATGTGTGATTATGAGGGTCCTGGCAGCAGGATTCTCAACCCAATCCACTTTTAACCAACATACTCGCTTATGCCATGCTTTTCATGCTTTTGACTTTGCCAACATCTGGTCCCAATAGACCGACATTACTTTTTATGACTCTGCAGCAGTGTAGCATAAGCAATGCTGAGAAATAAACAGGGGTGGGGGTGAGTGGAGCCACTTCAAAAAGAATGTAGATTGGAGAGTAAAATGGAGAGCAGGCTGCATAACATAGTGTCCTTAAAGTCACCATATGACTAGACAGAATTGGGAAAGTGAGCAGTGAGGATCTGGGGAGATGCTAAACAAAACCTCCATTCTGGATTATCTTTCAGGAAATATAACTGGACATATTTTGATCCTGAGGGGAGACCACTGGTATTGGAGGGAAGGATCAGACCATGAAGATGTTTGTACTTGGACACAGATTTTTGTATTTTGACCGAGCTGTCATTTCTGCTCATTGCTTTTTTGGGTTACTTCTTATTTATGCCACTGGCTATTCCAAACTCCAACCTAATGTGTCCACTCAACAAGTCTTTACCTCCTAATTCATGGAGACAATTGAAGCTACACAGTGTGTTTCTTCATAAACTCATCTTCTCCTTGGATTATTAATGTCCTGAAGCTATTCTGTCATCATTTCCCACTCAATACAAGCATGGCCTTGGGAATCTTCCTTCAGGCCTTCCATTCAGTTCCGCAATTGCTGACATGTGTTTCTCATATGTAGCAGCCCTGTGAGAGGGGACAGAGAGTGGCAGGCACCACTAACGGCCAACCCAATCTCCATTTTTGCTTCTGTCTTCATGACAAGAGCCCCTGTTTTGTTTGGAGCAGCAATACTTCTGACTAACAACCTTGTTAATGGGTGTGGTATGCGCCACCTGGGGGTTGGACAGGCTTGAAGCTCTGGCACGGCGGTGGCAGGGGTGGCAGGGGCAATATATGTAACCCTAACAATATTTGTACCTCCATAATATGATGAAATAAAAGGAGAAAAAAAACCCCTTATTTTCCCAGTTTTCTTACAGATGTAGTGGCCAATTGACACTGCTCTGACCTTTGAGATCAAAAGCCTGCTTGAAATTTCTGAGAAAGATTTCTCCTTCCTAATATAAACGCAGTACTACCCTTTCCTTCTTTTCCTTTCTTCTTGGAAATGGAACAGCCATTGTGAAAATGGGGCGGCAACATGAGGTCAGAAGCCCCTGCTAAAGATGGCAGAGTGGAAAGGAGAATGCCCGGGACACTGACCCTATTGTGAAACCAGAGCCCTAAGACTGTCTACCTGCAAACTTCTTGTTACATGAGCAAAAATATAATATATATTAGAGGATAAATAAGCTTGGAAGAAATATATACAAAACACATTTCTCTTGTTAAGGTAAGGAAAATGTATTTGGTTGAGATTTTGTTTCATGGAGCCTCAAAAGACTTTAATACATATAGGATTTGGAACCCAGATTTAGGATTTTGCAAATAACAAAAAGAGTAACAAAATGAGAGGAGTAAGAAAGGCAGGGGTAAAAGCTATTTGGCACGTCTGATATTGCAGGCTCGACAGAGCTGGAACTCCAACATTTGCTGCAACTGCTGCAGTGGACCGACCAAGACTATTGTTTTAAGAGAAATGGTAGAAAATTTTATGTTGGTTTTGAATGCTTTTATTTTTTCTTGACACTCTTAGGAAGTCACAACAAAAAGAATGAAGTTGAACTAGAGTTAGCTGCTCTGTGACAGAGATGGAAAGATCGTAGCTTTCAGAGTATAGGTAGGAAAAGTTTTTGTAGTTGTTTTATGGTGTTTGTCCATCACGGAGGCAACCCCACACACACCCTGAGCAAGTGTGCTGCTGCCAAACCTCCGGGGCCTCCAGAGAAGTAACTTCTCCAAATCGTCACATCATATGTGGCCATGAAGGACAATGGATGGAAGATCCTCCATGTAGGAAGAATCTGGGGCAGTTGACAAGGGGGATTCACTTAGGAAAAGATGAGAAGCTTACAGATAATCAAGGAACATGCCATGACCAGGGCAGAGAGTCAATGCTATCCTTGCTGGTTGATATGCTTCCCAGCTATATCTCTACTCTGAATGGAAGTTTTTATTTGTTTGTTTCTATCTTTCATACTGGGTATGTTGAAGGCAAATAGTTTTCTCAATGCATTCATGGTTGCCATGAATGCAAACAGATTATAGCAACAATAGAACCTGGGATTCGAGCTGTATATACCAGCTGTGTATGACTTCTAGATGATTCAGTTGGAGAAAAAGATGAAATGTGTGTATGGATGTCAAGTGGACAAAGGTTTGAAATATGCCAGATATTGTTAATTGTCTGATCAACATATATACTCACCCATTTCCTTTTTGAAGGAATCTTAATTTTGGAGGAGAGATCAATAATGTGCATAGCTATACAATTTATCTTCTGGGATCCCCTGGGAGATAGTGGCATAACATAGTTCTGGCAATGAGATTTAAGTATAAACCTGCCAGGTATTTTGCTTCCTTGGTGAAGCTATTTTTTTCCTTCTCTTATTCCTTCTTTCTTGTTTTTTGTAGTGGCTGATATAAGGGCAGAAGACATATGGGAAGGACAGCAGAGCAGAATGATAGAAGGTACCAGGGGCATGTTGATGTCCTCTGGTCACTGCACAAGCCCCGGACTGTGAAACCCACACTTTTTCTTATGTAAACAAGAAGAAGAAGAAAAAATCACTATTTGGTTTAGTTACCAAGGTTAGGATTTTGGTTATGTACATCAGAACAGCAATTCTGATATATGGAGATCACAGGCTCTCCACACCTTTTGGGATCTAATGTTCTAGGGTGGGAAGTCTTCCCGAAGACCTTGTTCTCATAAAAATCTCTTTTCTGTTCAGTATTTCAATATCTCCTTCTTTTGTAAGCTCTCTTTTCTACTTGTTCTGCCCTCAAACATTTATAAACTTTTTTTATCCTTAACCACTTTGGTATGGCGCTGACCGGCCGCAAAACCTTGCCCACAGCCGGCACTCACAGTCTGCACGACAGTTTGTGCTGCGCATTGACCACGAATCCGTTTTGCTCTTGTGTGATGAGGAAAGCTTGAAAGCACTGAAAGCTTGTTTGACTTCACAGGCAGCTTTACTTGTAATGTGAATCAGAATAGGTAACATACACATATATGTTTTTATTACACGTTATTTTTAAATGTTCACAATTTTATTTTGATAAATGAAAAATTAGAAAAGTCAATTCAAAATTATAGCTTTATTTCATTCATATCATAAAGAAATAAGGCAAGTTTTTGAATATTATGATAAATTTTATTCTTTGGTATGATAAATTTCGAAGCATGGGGCTACACATTGGCCAACATTCCATTGTTTACAATAATATCTAGTACTATACCTTTTATTATTTTTTGAGCATACAATACATCTTCTTAATGGATTTTTTTCCTTTTTGTTTTATCACTATCGCAAGGTGCTGGAAAATATCTTTCTCTAAAACGCATGAGATTTTCTGACGCAGTACAAGGGTTGTAGTGCCTCCATTTGGGGTACTGTTGTAGAAGTTTTGTTATTAACGCTAAAGTCTAGTCTTGGCTGTGCGCCTTCATATCACAGCTGTCGGCTAAAGTCACTGTGCGCGTTCATCTGAGGCTATCGACTATAGTCAACGTTCGTACTGAAGTGGTTAAAAACTCAAATAAGCCCAAAGTCACTCTGTACAACACTGCCTTCGTTAAGAGTAGTTTTAATTTTTCTTTTTTTAAGACACATAAACAAGGTACAAGTGCATTCGCATTATAAAATATTCAAACAGCATAGAAGAACCACTAACTTTATCTGTTCACTATTTCCATTGAGTAAGTATGGAAAGTGAATATGTTTAATTCCCATTTGTTTCCCTTTGTCATTTTAATTATGTGAAATCTGGTGTCTGCCCTTACCATGACAACTGAAAGAAGCAGCTGGCTGGGAATTTGGAAACACCTGGACGATGCCCTTCAGGAGTAGCACTGAATGGGCCAGGAATGTGCAGTTCCTACAGCCTATGCCTAGGTCACTGCGGGGTGTAGACGCTGCCAGAGGTGTGTTCAGACTGAGCCCTCAAACAGACACTCATCTCCTGTTACACACATCAAGGTTAGGCAAGTAAATCACAAACATCTCTTTCTACATCCTCAAGGAAGGATTTAGTAAATATGTCCTCATTTTAGAGAATAATTTTCAAAAGCTAATACTAATTCCTATTTAAAAAAAATCCCCAATAAAACACAATTTGAGTTTCAGCTTGACTGTTACTGGCATATATGAATGCCTCTGATTTGTGTGTATTAAATATTACTCAATTATAAGAAATGACAGTGATCTAGCATCTCTTATATTTTCCTGGATTGAGCTTGAACCCATTATTCAAAGCTGGGTAACACAAGATCGGAAGTATAGGCTCCGCTTGTACTCGCCATTAAATTGGTACTGACTGATTACAGTGCTCACATGGTAGTAATATTCTCCAGGGATGGGGGGTTGGGGGAGTAAACTCACAATTAAAGGAGACGGTGAGCATTGCAGAGCAGAAGGGCATGCCTCTAACCCTTGCTAGGAAGAGGCAAACATAAAAAAATGTAACCAAAATGTTTGTACCTTCATAATATCCTAAAATAAAAAAAAACACAAAAAATATAATATGTATTTATTTATCTTACATAAAAATAAGTAAGTAACCTTAAAAGACTTCTGATACTACCAGGTTAAATTAATTTAAAAGTCGAATTTGTTGAGGAGAGAATTTAATATTGATTCTTTTATTTTTTTCTGACACCTCTGGACTTTGGTGTTTTGTTAATCTTAGTGTCCTGATCTTTTTTAACTTATTGCAAGATCTGTCAAACTAGCTAACAATATCCCTGAGAAATTGCTAAGACATATTTGATAAGAACTACTTTAGGTCTTTAAAAAAAGACAATAAGGGATAAATATTATGAATCAAAACTAAGCAGAATTGTCCACAAAAACTCAAATTTTCATTTTGTACACCTGGTTTAGTATTAATTTTGGCAAACACTCTTCCCATTCTCTCTCACTTGGTGATCAACAAATGTTAAGAGAAAAACAATATTACTGAAAATGGAGAGTCTTCATTTGTCAGATAATTTGGGGCCAGAATGGGTATCAATTTTGATTCACTGCTTTCAGAACAGCTAGCGAAGAATGGATTAGATTAGCAGGCATAAATAAATCTAAATTTTGTTGAGATTTATACCTGTCACATCATAAATATAGATAAATGCTTCTTTATCCAACAAGTTGCATCGATTTGGATTTTGCAAAAGTTAAATGTTAGCCTGAAATTAAATTTGTGGTGACACAGTAAATGCAACCCGAGATACTGACTGTATAGGTCAGCACATAGCTAGTAGACAGGAGGAGAATTCTGGTAGCCAAGAGATTGTTTGCTCAGGTAGATAATCATTCAAAATGTACATGTATTCATGGAGTTGGAAAAGCAAGAACTCTTTAGATTCAGGAAAAAAAAAAGGTAGCCTTAAGAATTAAAATGTTAGCTAGCATTTCCAATTTATCATGCAACACTGGCCTTTGGAGTCAGGAGGATGATTTGTCATTCATCATATAACTGGGACTAAATTTCAAAGCCATGTTACTAAGAAATTGTGGTTGCATATGTGGAAGGGAACTAAGTGAATGGAAGAAGATAGAGGGAAAAGACTTTTTTTTTGTACAATTTGAACTTTATGTCATGTGTGTATAACAGCCATTAAAATAATTGAGTAATGGAAAGCAGATAAAATAAATGAATGATTTCTATTTATAAGGAAACTCTCACATTAGTTTCAACTCTTATAGAGAATTTCTATGAAGGCACCTCTTGCTCTTAAAACTATTCCTCCTGTACTCAGTGTATACTCTTTGTTCTCCTGTACATTGTATTATCTATGGTCTTTTCTGTGTTTCCATGCTAAAAGTTTCTATGGATGCAGTGACATTTGCCTTCAATGTTCTTTGACTTCCCTGGGAGATTTCACAATGATTTGCTTATACAAGGCATTCATTAAATAGTCAACAAATAACTGAGAAAAATAATAAACTGCTCACTTTGTCATCACTAGCATGTAGCCAAAGTCAATAGACAGGTGGCCAACAAAAGTCACCAGTTATCTGATGGATGCCGAGTATTTAACACTCCAGATTTCCAGATGCGGGGTGGAGGAAGGCATGGTCTATGCTGATTAAAGTAAGTTAGGGAATCCAAAAGGCTGGAGGTCATCGGGGTGGAAGGCATAAATAGGTGCTGAAAATTTAGACCAGTCAGGAGATTGAGAGGGTTTAGTAGCAGGGATGGCATTGCAGAGCAGAAAAACTGAATTTGGAACTTGAAGGAGAGGCCTTCCTGATATTCCGAGAAGTCTCCTGACACCTTATTTCCAGATTAAGTATTAAATTATGTATAGCTCTGCATTGCTGGGGGGTGCGTTAGGGCTGGTTGAAGAAGTAATAGAATGAAAGAGTCACAGAATTATAAAATGAAAGAATATACAGGCTGTAAGGGACTTTAGAGATGATCTAAGTCTAGTCTTTCTCATTTTACAGGTGAGAGAACTGAGGCCAAGGGAGGTTTAGTGGCTCGGGAATTTAGAAACTAAATGAAAACTACATTTTCAAGTCCCAAATGGTTCACAGTGTTCAGCAACCCATTGTCCCTTCCATTTTTCTGAGAACCAACCACATGAACAGCAAGAATCTTTCCTGGAACCACTGAAGGGTGCAGAATAGCAACAGAACTCTGTAGGTAATAATGTTAGGAAGATCTATTCTGGAATGAGTAACTTATCCAGGGATACTGAAGGACGTCTCTGGTTTCTACACCAGGTGAACCTGAGTTGACAATTATTAGAAGCTAAGAAGTTGTAGTACCCAAAACTACAGATTCAGGATAATAACACACAAATAATTGCCTGAGGCTTTCAGGAGCAATCTCTAAATCAGGTGTCCTCAAACTATGGCCTGTGGGCCTCCTAGCACATTTATCCCGCCCTCTAGGTGTTTTTGCCACTGATGCCTGTCCTGCTTAGCAGCTGACTCGTCCGTGGCCCACAGTGCATAGTCTCCAACGGTCTGAGGGACAGTGAACTGGCCCCCTGTTTAAAAAACTTGAGGACCCCTGCTCTAAATTGAGAGAGTCTTACAAACTCCTTTGGTATTTAGCTATTAGAAAGTGTTGTAGGACATTAAAGCAAAAGATGAAACAGTAAACAAAATCTCCTCACAGAATCAGATATTTACTATGCTTGATTCAGAATAACTTATTATAAGATTAATTTGTTGGTTTTATTTCTCTGCCTTTATTCTTCCTGATTCAACTGATTGGTTGTTTGAATCTGAAAAGTTGGAAAGTTATATTGCTCATTATTGTGGGCAAAGTAATTTTCCATAAAAGTGATCATACAAAAGTGACAGGGTATTTAAAAGCACATGACTCCAATATTTTAATCCCTACATGAAATGACCCATTTCTACATGAATTCATACTTAACCTTTCAGACAAATCTGTAATGGTTGGAAGGAAATGTGACTTGAATTACTACACTCTCCCTAATAAACCCCACTCTGGAAATCCCTTGGGTCTACTCTAGTTTAAACTTCACCTCAGCAAATCTCAGTCAGTCTGACTGCAAGAGACCAATTTGCCTATAGATTAGCTGTCTCCAACTACCTCTAGGAAATGACTAT